TAGACCCCCTCCTCTTCTGCAGTGTTGCATCAACTCCAAGCACCCCCCCCCCAATTCTGGGGCTCAACAGGTGGTGGGCATCTCACCCGGCGCCGGGCTATAGCCCACCACCCACTTTCCTGCAGGGTGTCCTGCCACGGTTGGGGTCCCCACTGGAGGTTCAGGCTGCCCAGTGCGACCCCCCCCCGTCCCTGGGAGAGCTGCTTTGCCTCCCACCCCACCCGCCCTCCCTTCCGCTGGTGGAGGGGCTGAGGCATCGCAGTGGGTGTGTTTGCCAGCCCAAGAGGAAGTGCAAGAACTGGTGCAAGGCTGGCGGAGGGAGGGAGGGAGGCGAGCGGGGGGGGGGGCTCTTGGGCCTCCTTCGGGTCCGAACTCTGCAAAAGTCACGACGGCACAAAACCCCACCGCAACTGCAAAGAGGCAACGCCACACAGTCTCTCCCCCCCCCCCGCGGGCAAGATGCCATTTGAAGGCAGAGCCCTGGGGCGCCCCGGGGGAAAGCGCCGGCTCTCTCGGGGGACTCATTTGCCCGTAATGACAGCCTCCAGCCGGGCTCATTAGCCCCGGAGGTGCCTCGACGGCTCTCTCGGGGAGGGGGCGCCCACCTGCCAGCCCGGCGGTCTCCACCTCCGCCCTGCCTGCCCCCCCCCGCCACAAGGAGCCCCTCCCAAAGCGCCAAGGGTTGGTGGGGGGTGGGGGATACAGGAGGAAGCCCAGTTTCTTTCGGGGGGGGCAGGGAATGACGAGGAGGGGGGGCAACCCAATGCACCAATTTACACTTGGGGCGATCGCGGACCCCCCCCCCAAAGCGAGGGAGGGGGGACCGCTCTGCTGGCTGCTTTCGGTGGGGAGGGACCGCGGGAGCCCCGGAGAGCCGGGGCTGCGGGGGGAGAGGTCGTGGTAGGGGGCGTAGAAAGGAGCGGGGGGCTCTGGGGGGGGGGAAGAGGGCGGCCGGGCGGCCCCTTCCCACCGCTCGGGGTCGAAAGGGCGGTTGCCGGCGGAGGGGCGGGCGGCGGAGCGCCCGGAGGTTGTGCAATGGGGCGGGCGCTGCTACGGGGCCGGCGAAGGCTGGGGCGGCGGGGGGAGCGGCCGCCCCGGACTAGCCAGCTTTCCGAGCTTGCATGGGGGGTCGGGAGCGCTTGGCCGGGGGGCTGCAGGCTGGGGGGGGAGGGGGGAAGAGGGGAAGCCCAGCAGGAGGAGGAAAAGAAGGGGGAACTGCACGGCCTTCCCCAGTCGGCCTCCACCTACCTGCTGCTGCTCCTGCAGCGCCGCCGCCGCCGCCGCCGCACGAGGGGGCCGGGGGGCGGGGGACTCGTTTCCGCTGCTCCAGGGGCGGAAGGATCGCGCTCGGCCGCTACTACTGCTGCTGCTTCTGCTGCTCAGAGCGCGCGGCAGCGGCGGCGGCGGCAGCCGGGACTCGACTCGGGAGCGCGCGGAGCGATCTCGCCCCGCCGGCCCAGTGATGAGGCTATCCCGCCGCGCCCAGAGTCGGACGCGGCCGAAAGGACTCCCCGCAGGGAGGGGGGAGCGGGAGAAACCAAGTCCGCCCGCTCGGAGGGGGGGAGGTCGTGCGGCAAGGGGAGCACGACGGATGCTGGCAGGCTGTCAAGCTCGGGCGGGGGACAAGGAAGACTCTTCCCGGTGTGGGGCGAGGCCGGGCCCGCGCCTCCTTCCCCCCGCCTCGAAAATAATTCTCAAGTCGGGCAATACCAACTCGGATGGGCAGGGCCAGACCACGCATACCGGGGGGGGAGGAGAAGGGCTCGGGGCATACCAATTCTCAAGGGTGGCCCACGGTGAGGGCGGGGAAGAAGCATCCAGACGCCTTGGGACCTGCGATCCCCGAGGGAAGCTGGGCCTTCTGGGGATTGTAGTCTCTCCCGCCTGCGGCCAGGAAGGGGCGAGTGCACGCATTTCTTTCAGGGGAGAGTTGTTTCCCTCCAGGAAAGATGGTACAGTCCGAAACAGCCCGTTCTAACCTCCTCTCTCCGGATGCGTCGGGACTACAACTCCCATCGGTCCCTGCAAAAGTTGGAAAGTGGCCTGTGAAGCAGCCTGGCGAGCAGGCGGGTGTCCGCAGGGGCATCCTTGCAGGGGGCTGCCAGTGGAACCAGCTGGTCACTGGGGTTTCTGCCATTATCCTGGCAGGCAGAAGCTCAGGCCAGGTTCAGCTGCACCTGGGGAACACCTGCCTGCCTCGCAGCCCGGAGAGATGCCAAGCAGGCTGGCTGCAAGGGAAGGCCCCTCGGGCGCATCCCCAGGAACAGAACTGCCCTCTGGCTGCCTCCTGGGTTCAGACCGCTCTGGCTGGCGATAATAGGAATTGGAGTCCGAGCCTGTTTGGGAGGCTGCTCGCACCCGCCACAAGCCAAGAGCTTGGCTCTGCTCCAAGAGCCTGGTTGCTGGGGAGCCGGAGTGTAATTATTACTTATTCAGCATATGGCCTGTCATACCCAGACTAGCAATACAGCCAGTCCTCGACTTACAACGGTTCATTTAGTGTCCGGTCACCGAGAAAAGCGACTCATGAGCGTTTTTCACACGACGTTTGCGGTATACACATAGCCACGTGATCAAAAACTGGATTCTTGGCAACTGACTCGTATTTATGACGGTTGCAGCGTCACGAGGCCACGGGAGTCCCTTTTTGTGACCTTCTGACAATCAAAGCCCATGGGAAAGCCAGATTCCCTTAGTGACCGTGTCACTAACTTAACAACTGCAGCAATTCAGTTCGCAACTGTGGCAAGAAAAGGTCGCAAAATGAGGGAAGCCTCAGTTAACCAATATCTTGCTTAGCAGCAGAAATTTTGGGCTCCTTTGTAGTCGTAAGTTGAGGACTAGCTGCATATATTATTTCACTTAGAGTATTAAAACACAGTAAAATAGGAATGCTAAAAAGGTCTGTGTTCAAACACCCCAAAATCTCTAGTCCAGGGGTAGGCAACCTTGGCTCTTTTATGACTCTTGGACTTCAACTCCCAGAATTCCTGAGCCAGCATGGGGGAACTATGGCTTCCTTGATGACTCATGGACTTCAACTCCCAGAATTCCTGAGCCAGCATGGGGGAACTATGGCTTCCTTCATTACTTCTGGACTTCAACTCCCAGAATTCCTGAGCCAGCATGGGGGAACTATGGCTCCCTTTAGGACTCGTGGACTTCAACTCCCAGAATTCCTGAGCCAGTCATAAAAGAGGCGAGGTTGCCTACCTCTGTTCTAGGCCATCTGACCACTGAAGCTGAGCTCTGTTCATATGAAAGAAATCGGATACTGCAGAGATAGATGCCCCCGGCTTTCAGCCGGCATAATATGACCCATAGTTTGACTTGGGGACCCACAGTCCCACCGAGCGGAGGATGCTGTGCCCCATTTATTCAGGGAATCCTGGAAGATGCCGTGTGAGGCGTGAATCCTGTTCAGGCTTGTCCATTGCTGATGTGATTGTTCAACGTCTGCCACCTTGTTTTTGTGGGGCCATCTCTGCGTCTTCTGTGTAATGGGGAGCGTAATGAGGGTGGCAGAGACTGGGGGCCCCTCACAACTGGGGGCCTAGGAATCCATGGGAAGCCTTCTGCCTCGATCTCATACCCCAGCCCCAAATTCTGCACTCCACTTCTAAGTAGCTGGGGAGGGCTATTCCTGTCCTTGGTGAAAAATGGGGAGGGAAGAAAGGAAGGAAGGAAGGGAGGGAGGGAGGGAGGGAGGGAGGGAGGAAAGAGGTGGGAGGAGGAAGGAAGAGAGAAAAGAGGAAGGAAGAATGAAAGAGGGAGGGAGGAGGAAGGAAGGAAAGAGATAAAAAGGAAAGAATGAAGAAAGGAAGGGAGGGAGGGAGATAGAAAGAAGGAAGGAAAGAAGGAAAGAGGTGGGAGGAGGAAGGAAGAGATAGAAAAGAGGAAGGAAGGAAAGGAGAGGGAGGGAGGGAGGGAGGGAGGAGGAAAGAAGGAAAGAGATAGAAAAAGAAGGAATGAAGAAAGGGAGGGAGGGACGGAGATAGAAAGAAGGGAGGGAGGGAGGCGGAAGGAAGACAAAAAAGAGGAACAAATGAATTAAGGCAGGAAGGAAGGGAAGAGAAAGGAAGGAGGGAAGAGGGAGGGAGGGAGAAAGGGAAAGAAGGAAGGAAGAAGAAAGTGAAGGAGAATGGAAGGAAGCAAGGAAAGAGGAGGAAGGAAGGAAAGAGGAAGAAAGGAGGGTGGAGAATATAAAAGGAAGAGAGAGGGAAAAGGGAGGAAGGAAGGAAGGAAGGAAGGAAGGAAGGAAGGAAGGAAGGAAGGAAGGAAGGAAGGAAGGAAGGAAGGAAGGAAGGAAGGAAGGAAGGAAGGAAATTTCTAAGGGGGGGGCAAGGAAAGGGCACATCCGTGGGCGGAATGGCCGCGCCGATCTTATGTTACAACCGGTTCCCTCGTAGATCCAAAACCCGACTGAATTCTGCACGCGGGTCGTGAAGACGCGTCCTCGTCTGGAATAGCAAGGGAGGCCGATACGGCGTTGAGCGTTTGCTCTGCACGAGCTCAGAGGCACAGTCCGCTTCCCCCTCTGTCCCTCCGCCTCTTTTTTTTTTTTAAAAAAGAATCGCTTGCTCTCCACACGTGCATACCGGCACACCCGGGTTCTCGTAGCGTCAGCCCCGACCTCAGTTATGCAGCCTCTTTCAAGCTCGCTTGGGGGGGGGGGGATGATGCGAACTGGAGTTGCAGCCGGGCCGAGCGGTAGGGGGGGGGCTGGCCCCAGATTGGGGAGTGGGGGAGGAAATGAATTTCCCAGACATTCACACCGGGGCCTTTCAACGGCCCGTGGAAGCCCCGCCGGGGTGGTGGTGGTGGGGGGGGTCGCTTCCCCCTGCCGGTTACCTGCCGGCCTCGGCCCCTTTAAGGACCCATCGCTCTTTCTCTTCATTGTCTCCGACGGCGGCCAATCAGGGACCCCCTTGGGGAGGGGCGGGCAGCCCTGATTGGCCGAGACGCGGCCCTCCCTTCCGCCCACCCCCTTCCATCTTCCCTGCCCCGCTCCCTTGGCAGCCCCCTCCCCAGGCTGCTGTCCACCGGCCCAGGTGCTGAACCCGCCGCCGCCGCCCGCGACAGCCCAGCCCCGGGAGAGCCAGCCGGCCGCCCGACCGCCCAGCCCGACCGCGACGCGCACCGGCACCGCATCCGGAGCGGGATGAGCGGAGGGGTCTACGGAGGAGGTAGGGCTGCGCGGCGCCCCCTCGCCCCGCTGGCTCGCTCGCTCGCGGCCGCCGGCTCTGCCCCGCTGCTGGCTAAGCGGGCTGGCTCCGGGCAACCGGGCGCTGGGAATTCTAGCAACCTCGCTAGACCGTCTGAGTCGGGCTTGAATTCTGGTCCTTGAGCGAAACCCCTGTACCTAGCAGCCGAGGGAGGATCGGAGGTCCTCCCCTTCGTTGCTGTGTGTGTGTGTGTGTGTGTGTGTGTGTGTGTGTGTATGTGTGTGTGTGTGTGTGTGTGTGGCTTGGCTCACTTGCTTAAGCGGCCTGCGAAGGGGCTTTCCAGCTCCCGCCGGTGGGGCGCTCTGCTTCTCCGTGAAGAGGAACCGTGGCCGGCATCCCTCCCGCCGGGCGACTGGCCTACGAGGAGGCATCCGCCTTTCCTCCTCCGGGGCTGCGGGGGGGGGCGACTCGGAGGCTCTGGAGGGGTCCATTCCTGCGTCCCCCACCCCCACCCCCACCCCAATTCCGGGGGAAGCTTCCTGAACAGCCAGCAACAGAAGAAGCCAGCTTTGCACGGTGCAAGATGGAAATGATAAAAATCGGGAAGAGCCGGAAGGGGCCCCCCGAGGCCATCCAGTCTACCCCTCCCCTTTTTCCTCCGCCCTCCACGGTGCGGTCCAGGGATCCAAATTGCAGACTGCCGCTCCCGTATCCTTAAATCCGGCGCTTTGGACTTCTACGGGGGGGGGCAGAATTAAGCCCTTGGATGAGTGTTAAAATGCGAGTTAAAACGCCTCCTTGGGGCTGAAAGGGAACCGACGGGAGGCTGCGCCCCCTCCCCTCCGCTCGCTCCCTCCTCACCCGTGTCGCGGATGCCTTCCTTGCAGACGAGGTCGGGGCGCTGGTTTTTGACATCGGGTCGTTCTCCGTGCGGGCCGGCTATGCTGGGGAAGATTGCCCAAAGGTAGGCGGCATCTTCCTAGAGGACCGGGGGGGGGTCCCTGACCCCGGATCCCCCCCTGCCCCACGGCGCCTGCTCTGCTTGCAGGCCGACTTCCCCACCACGGTGGGCTTGCTGTCCCACGACGAGTCGGCCATGGAGCTGGACGGCGACAAGGAGAGCAAAGCCGGCAAGGTCTACTACATAGATACCAACTCCTTGCACGTCCCAAGGGAGAACACGGAGATCGTCTCGCCCCTCAAGAACGGGATGAGTACGAGGGCGGGCGGGGGGGGGGTAGAAGAGGCTCGGGGACGCCCCGAGTGGGAGTCGCGGCCCTCGCCTCCTGCGCTGGGACCCCTGCGCCCCTAATCCTAACTCCACGCGGGTCGCAGTGCACCTCGAAAGGGAGAAAGCGAGGCTCCTCCGCTCGGTGGTTTGAGAAGGCCGGGGGACGGCCCGGGGAGGAGTGTGGGGAGCCGGCAGCCAGCCCCCCCTTTTCCTTTATCCCCCCCTCGTTTCTCCTCCCCCCCCCAAGTCGAAGACTGGGGCTGTTTCCAAGCCATCCTGGATCACACCTACAACAAGCACATCAAGTCGGAGCCCAACTTGCACCCGGTGCTCATGTCGGAGGCCCCCGTAGGTATCTCGGGGGGCGGGGGGCGGGGGGCGGCCCCACCCTCCTCCTTTGTGCGTGGGCTCATGCCCTCTTCTGACCCTCCGCCCCCACCCCTCCCGCCAGTGGAACACGCGCGCCAAGCGGGAGAAGCTGACGGAGCTGATGTTCGAGCATTACAGCATCCCGGCTTTCTTCCTGTGCAAGACGGCGGTGCTCACGGCGTATCCTCTCGGCGCTGCCCCGGGCCGGGAACGGGACCCCCTCCCCTCTTCCTGGCCGCCCCCAGGCCTTGAAGGGCAGAAGACCCGGGATTCCGATTAAGGCCCGTGCCGGCTAGGAGCATCCAGGGAAAAGATTGGGGAGGGGGACACAGCTTCTTCTCCCGAGCCCCCCCCACCGCCCCATTGCGGGACCCCCTGCCTCGCCAAGCCCTTGACGTTGCTCCACCAGCTTTGCCAACGGGCGCAGCACCGGCCTGGTCCTGGACAGTGGGGCCACCCACACCACAGCCATCCCGGTCCACGACGGCTACATCCTGCAGCAAGGTGGGGGTCGCCGTCTTCGGGGGGGGGCTTACAAGTGGGGCTCTGTTGTTGTGAGGTCCGCTGTGTCCCGTGCCAAACTCTGGGGGGCATGGCAGGATGCCAGGGGGGGGGGCTCTGGGCGCAAAATGGCCTGTTCGGGGTGGGTGGCTCTCCTCCGGCGCGCTTGGCCAGGCCTGGCAGCCCCTGGCAGATGCAGGAGGCAGATCAAAGCATTTCCTGAGTTCGGGGGTCCAAATCATTGGGGGGAGGGGTTTCCGTGGGGCAGAAGATGCTGCTGTCAAGGGGACAAAATGAGACATATAGGGGACAGTAGGGCCAGCTCTTTCTTTCTTTCTTTCTTTCTTTCTTTCTTTCTTTCTTTCTTTCTTTCTTTCTTTCTTTCTTTTTCTTTCCTTTCCTTCCTCTCTCTTTTCTTTTCCTTCCTTCGTTCCTCTCTTTTTTCCTTCCTTCCTTCCTTCCTTCCTTCCTCCCTCCCTTCCTCTTTTCTTTCTTTTCTTCTTTCTTTCTTTCTTTTCCTTCCTTCCTTCCTCTTTTTTCTTTTCCTTCCTTCCTTTCTTCTCCTTCCTTCCTCCCTTCTCTCTTTTCTTTCTTTTCTTCTTTCTTTCTTTCTTCTTTCTTTCCTTCCTTCCTCCTTCCTTCCTTGCTTTCTTTCTTTCCCCCTTTCCTTTCCTTTCCTTCCTCTCTCTTTTCTTTTCCTCCCTCCCTCTTTTCTTTCTTTTCTTCTTTCTTTCTTTCTTTTCCTTCCTTCTTTCCTCTCTTCTTTCTTTTCCTTCCTTCCTTTCTTCTTTCTTTTCCTTCCTTCCTCCCTTCCTCTTTTCTTTCTTTTCTTCTTTCTTTCTTCTTTCCTTCCTTCCTTCCCTTCCTTCCTTCCTTCCTTCCTTCCTTCCCCCCTTCCTCCCTTCCCCCTCCCTCCGTTCCCTTCTACCCTTCCTTCCTCCTTCCCTCCCTCCCTCCCTCCCTTCCCTTACTCCTTCCCACCCTCCCCTTTTCACCCTCCCTTCCTCCCCAACTGCAGGGATTGTTAAATCGCCCCTGGCTGGCGACTTCATCTCCATGCAGTGCCGTGAACTTTTCCAAGAGATGAATATCGAAATTGTCCCTCCATACATGATCACAGCCAAGGTAGGGCTCCCCCTGTCCCGTTCCACCCCAGCCCAGAGCTATGGATCCCGGTGGCTGAGTGGGGGGGGGGGCTGGGCAGTCCGCCCACTCTGCTCGCCGAAGCCGGCGGTTGGGAAGCGCCAAAAGTGCACAGACCTTGTCTCGAGGTCTCTGGAAGTGGGGAAGGGGCTGTAGAGAGCCCCTCCTCTCTTACAAACAGCTGGGCCCAGAGAAGATTGCAAGTGGGGTGTTACCACAACCTGCGAGGCTGCCCCTCTTCCTCCGCCTTCCCCAGGAACCTGTCCGTGAAGGGGCCCCCCCAAACTGGAAGAAGAAGGAGAAGCTGCCCCAAGTCAGCAAATCCTGGCACAGCTACATGTGCAATGTGAGCCAGGGGCCCTTGAGGGAGGGAGAGGCCTTGGGGGAGGGAGGGAGGGGCCCTTGAGGGAGGGAGGGGCCCTTGAGGGAGGGAGAGGCCTTGGGGGAGGGAGGGAGGGGCCCCTGCACTGTCAAGGGCCCGAAGGTGCCCAGTGGGTGCTGGCTGGCTGACTCAGTGCCCGTAGCTCAAAAACTGAAGTGGACAGATGAGAGGTTTGGGTCAAGACTTGTTCCTGGGTGGGAAGGGGTGGGCAGGGTGTGTGTTGGGGAGGGGGCTTCTGTCCAGGAGATGCTGACCCCTCTCCATCCCTGCCGACTCCCGCAGGAGGTGATACAGGACTTCCAGGCATCCGTCCTTCAAGTTTCTGACTCTCCGTATGACGAGCAGTGAGTATCGGGCGAGTCTGGCCGTGTGGAAGGCAGGGGTCTCATTTGAAGAAACGGGGGGGGGGCTACGTCTCGGGGTCCCTCGGTCTAATCTTGCCCAGCTTCCTGGCTGCCTTCCTGATGGGTGGGGACCGCATCTCCCAGAATCCCCCTCTTTCAGGCATGTTGCTGGGAATTCTGGGAGGAGGATGAAAAAGGACAGAATCTCTTCCCTGGTTTGAGAGTTCAAGGCTGTGGAACCCAAGGTTCTTTCCAGAAAAACAGCCCCGTAAGGTAGGCTGCAGAAGACAGAAGACAGACTCCCATGAAACAAACCAGAATAGACAGGGAATTGCACTGCGTCTTTGATGGGAGAAATGAAATTGCTTTACAAGAAGAAAAAGAGGATCTAATCTAACCCAGGAGAGAAGCAACCTGGAACCGAGGAGACACTTCCTAACAGTGAGAACAATTAACCAGTGGAACAGCTTGCCACCAGAGGTTGCGGGTGCTCCATCACTGGAGGTGTTTGAGAAGAGATGGGACAATATTTGTCTGAAATGGAATAGGGTCTCCTGCTTGACCAGGGGGGTTGGACTAGATGACCTCCAAGGTCCCTTCTAAAGATGATTGATTGTATCTTTCTGAGATAATAGTAGTAGTAGTAATAATAATAATAATAATAATAATAATAATAATAATAATAATAATATTGAACAACTGGAGCACCACTTGAACACCATTGGCATTGACAAATTCGCTATTAGTCAATTGCAAAAGGCGGCCTTCCTAGGAACTGCTTCCATCCTGCGACGATATCTGTAATACCATCAAACATCCACATCTGCCTATCCCAGGTCCTGGGTAAGGACTCGATAGGTAGACAAAATGCCAAATCCAGTCTGAACATCTGGCTGACTGTGCGATGATCAATAATAATAATAATAATAATAATAATAATAATAATAATGATGATGATGGTGATGTTAGAAGGGACATGGGAGGTCATATAATCCAACCCCCTGCTCAGGCAGGAAACCCTACACCGTTTTGGACAAATGGCTGTCCAGTCTCTTCTTAAAAACTTCCACTGTTGGAGCATTCCCTGCTTCTGGAGGCAGGTAGTTCCACTGGTTAATTATTCTGTCAGGAAGTTTCTCCTTAGTTCTAGGTTGCTTCTCTCCTTGGTGAGTTTCCACCCGTTGCTTCTTGTCCTGCCCTCAGGCGCTTTGGAGAATAGCTTGACTGCCTCTTCTTTGGGGCAGCCCCTGAGTTGTGAGAAAGGAAAAGGAATTCCGTGGGGTCTGGATCCAGGGGGAGGCCAGAGGGGTCTGGCAGGGACAAGGGTGCCCTGGGTACCATCCTGGGGATCCGGAGACTGGGAAGCAACATTGGTGGGGGTCTGTGAACCCCCCAAAGCCATTTGGGGAAGGAGGAAGGAAAGAGGAAAGGGAGGGGCAACCCCTGCCTTGCCCTGGCACTGCCGGTCCAGCTACATCTGCCTCGATCTCTGTTCTCCCCCCTTGTTTGGAGCAGGGTGGCTGCGCAGATGCCCACCGTCCACTACGAAATGCCCAATGGCTACAATACGGACTACGGGGCGGAGCGCCTGAGGATCCCGGAGGGGCTTTTTGACCCCTCCAACGTGAAGGTGAGCGGGGCAGTGGGGGAGGGGCAGGGAGAGGGGGGGGGCTGGCGTATTTCCAGAGTATTTGGGAAGGTGGGATGTGCCAGCACTTTGGGGTGGGCCGCAGGGGGCTCCAAGCGTGGCCCCTTTAAGACTTGTGGGCTTCAACTCCCAGAATTCCCCAGCCAGCAGCCAGGCTTGGAGACTCTGACCCACCCTCAAAAAGGGGGCGAGCCAAGCCCCCCCCCGTGTTGTGCAATATGGAGGCCAACCCAGTTGAGGATCTGAAGGGTTGTGTGGATCTAGCCCAGCCCAGTGTGATTGTTTAAGCGTGAGCAGAGCAGGCAAATGGCTGGACTTCCCCCGGGCTCAGTTCGCCTTCCGTGGCTGGTCCCGCTTTGCTCCTGGTGAAAAGGTTGGGGACTCCTTGCGGTGGGCTATTCTGGGGGCCCAGCACCCCCAATCCAGGCCTTGGGGAGAGGCACCGGATGGAACGGGAGGGTGTGGGTTGCATTCAAATTGGTGCTTCCGGTCTGCTTGTGCTCCCCCAGGGGCTGTGCAAATGTGCAAGTACTTGCTCTCCTTTAGATGCACCCCCCAGGGTGGACCCTGGACCCCCCCAGCCAGTTTCCTTCCTTTTCCTTCATCTCCCCCATGGTTATGCCCCTGTTATTACCACGAAATTGCAATTTGGGTATGTGGCTATTTAAGGCTTGTGCATGGGTGATTTTTGCTTTGCACACCTGAACTCTGGATGTCACCAGCGCTTCCCTCCCGCCCCCCCGTTTCTCAGGGTCTGTCTGGGAACACCATGCTGGGTGTCGGACACGTGGTCACCACGAGCATCGGGATGTGCGACATTGACATCCGTCCGGTGAGCCCCCCTCTCCCTGCTCCCTCTCCCCACCCGAGACTTGGCCCCTAGCAAAGCACCCCCAGGACTGGAGCGCTGAATTTTCCACCCAGCCCCTCTGAGCCCCCGGGAAAGGAGCTGCTGCAGCTCCCGAAAGATTCTGCCTTTGAAGAAGAGGGGCTGGGGGGAAAGGGGCTCCCGCCCCCCTCCCCCAAGAAGCACAAAGGGGCAGCTAGATAAGGTAGCTCTAATTCTTGTCCATCTTAAGGTTTTTATATTTGTGTTTTTTTGATGTATTGTGAGCCAGAGTCACCTTGCATAGGGCAATGGGAGGGAAGGAAGGAAGGAAGGAAGGAAGGAGGAGAGGACGGGAGGAAGGGAGGATGGAGATAGGGAAAAAGGACGGAAGGAAGGAAGGAGGGAGGGAGAGGAGGAGAGAAAGGGGAGGAGGGAGAGAGGGAAAAAGGAAGGAAGGAATGAAGGAGAGAGGGAGGAGAGAAAGGGAAGGAGAGAGGGAAGAAGGAAGGAAGAAAGAAAGAGGGAGGGAGAGGAGGAGAGAAAGGGGAGGAGGGAGAGGGAAAAAGGAAGGAGAGAAGGAAGGAATGAAGGAGAGAGGGAGGAGAGAAAGGGAAGGAAGGAGGGAGAGAAGGAAGGAAGAAAGAAAGAAAGAGAGAGAGAGAGAGAGGGAGGAGAGAAAGGGGAGGAGGGAGAGAAGGAAGGAAGGAGAGAGGGAGGAGAGAAAGGGGAGAAGGGAGAGGGAAAAAGGAAGGAAGGAAAGAAGAGGGAGGGAGGGGAGAAAGGGGACGAGAGAGGGAAAAAGGAAGGAAGGAGGAAGGAAGGAAGAAAGAAGGAGGGAGTGAGGGAGGAGAGAAAAGGGAGGAAGGAGAGAGGGAAAAAGGAAGGAAGGAGGAAGGAAGAAAGAAGGAGGGAGTGAGGGAGGAGAGAAAAGGGAGGAAGGAGAGAGGGAAAAAGGAAGGAAGGAGGAAGGAAGGAAGAAAGAAGGAGGGAGTGAGGGAGGAGAGAAAAGGGAGGAAGGAGAGAGGGAAAAAGGAAGGAAGGAGGAAGAAAGGAAGAAAGAAGGAGGGAGTGAGGGAGGAGAGAAAAGGGAGGAAGGAGAGAGGGAAAAAGGAAAGGAAGGAAGGAGGTAGGAGAGAAAGGAGAGGAGGAAGGGAGGGAAGGAAGGAAGAATCCACAGAGAGCTCTGAGCTTTGGGAAGCTTCTTGGGGGCCAGCTGAACAAGAAACCTTAGGCGTCTGAGCTGGCTGTGTGCGTGCGTGTTTGTGTGTGTGTGTGTGTGTGCGCACGTGTACCAGAAGGACAAGCGAAGGGGCTTCAGCCATCGGGTCTCCTGCCCCCTTGCCCCCCCCCCGCCCATCTCTGCAGGGTCTCTACGGCAGCGTCATCGTCACCGGCGGGAACACGCTGCTGCAGGGCTTCACCGACCGCCTCAACCGGGAGCTCTCTCAGAAGACCCCGCCGGTGAGAGCCACACCTGTGCGCATGCGTAGGGCCGGGAGGGCAGCTAGCGGGGGGGCCTTCGGGGGGGGGCGTTTGCCCCGCTTGGTTCACCTGCACAAGCCCCGCGGGCAGCTGCCCCCAGCCGGACTTCCCGGTGGGCAGAGCGGACGAGCGGGCAGCCCCCTCCGATGCCAGCAGCCCCCCCCCCCCGGGCCTCTCAGCGTCTGGAGGGGTCCGGAACTCGCCCGGGGGGAAAAATGGCTTTGAAGCTTCAGGAGTCAATAAGCAGCTTTCCCCGATGCCTCCAGCTCGCTAAATCTTCTCCCCTTGAATATCAATCAATCAATCCATCAATCAGGGTAGAGCTGGAAGGGACCTTGGAGGTCTTCTAGTCCAGCCCCCAGCTCAAGCAGGAGACCCTGCATCATTTCAGACAAGTGGCTGTCCAATAGGAAGGAAGGAAGGAAGGAAGGAAGGAAGGAAGGAAGGAAGGAAGGAAGGAAGGAAGGAAGGAAGGAAGGAAGGAAGGATAACAAGAGTTGGAAGGGATCTTGGAGGTCTTCTAGTCCAGCCCCCAGCTCAAGCAGGAGACCCTACGGCATCCTTTCACACAAGTGGCTGTCCGGTCTCTTCTTCAACCGCCCCCCCCCCCGAACTTCCAGAGGCAAGCGGTTCCACTGGCTAATTGTCCTCGCTGTCAGGAAGTTTCTCCTTCCTTCCAGCTTGCTTCTCTCCTTGATGAGTTCCCATCCGTTGCTTCTTTTCCTGCCTCCTGGTGCTTTGGAGAATAAGGGGACCCCCCCTCTTCTTTGCGGCAGCCCCTCAAATACTGCAATCTCGCTATCAGGTTCCCCGCCCCCCGGGCCTTCTTTTCTCTAGACTGGCCAGACCCAAATCCTGCAGCCGTTCTTCATAAGTTAAATCAGTAGTTCTCAACCTTTTTAACGCCGCGACCCCCAACCGGTCGTAAGTCGAGGACTACTCAACTGATGCAGCACCAGTTTGCAGAATGGGACTTTTGGCGGGCTCAGCAGGGCAGAGACAGCCTGGACAATTCCTATTGGCTTTTGAAAGCCAATAGAATTAGACTCTATTCAAGAGAGCCTATTTCAAAAGCCAATAGAATAAAAGGGAGTAGCACAGCTAAGGAAAAGGGGGAAAAAATGGCGGACAGCCTTGTTTGGCGACCCCCGTGAAATGGTCGTTCGACCCCAAATGGGGTCCCGACCCACAGGTGGAGAACCGCTGAGTTAAATAAAAGAGTTTCTATCCGGCTCCTGAGTTTTTCGGCTGCCTAGCATGGCTCTCTTCGAATGTCGATTAAAACGGGGGGGGGGTTTGCACTGCTCTGGGGAGTCAGGACGGGCAATCAGAATGACAGTTGCTCAGGACCCCCACCACCCCCACCACCGGTGACCCCCTTCTCCCCTTCCCCAACAGAGCATGCGACTGAAGCTCATTGCCAGCAACAGCACCATGGAGCGGAGGTTCAGCCCGTGGATCGGGGGCTCCATCTTGGCTTCTCTAGTGAGTCTGGGGGGGAGGGGCGGGGGGGAATCAAGGGAGGGGGTGCAGGAGGGGAGGAGTCGGGGTCGTCCACAAGGGGCCAAGTCTGGAGAGGGCGTAAACCTGTGTCTGCCTCCTGCAGGGGTCGCCCCAGGAAAGGGCATCAATCTGTGGGTCGGTGGGGAGGGGTCTGTTCCGCCCTCTCACCCCTTTATTTCTTTTTCTAGGGGACCTTCCAGCAAATGTGGATCTCCAAGCAGGAGTACGAAGAGGGGGGCAAGCAGTGTGTGGAGAGGAAATGCCCCTGAATGTCTCCCCTTGCCCCCCCACCTCTGCCCCCTCCCACCATCTCTGGGGCGGCTGCAGCCCTTCTCAGCCTGGATGCCCAAATCCCCTCCCCACCACGGTCCTTGCTGTGCCCTCCCTCTCCTCTCGCCACACCCCCTGTTGCGTCCGAGAGCCCCCTTCCAAGATTGGGGGGGGCCACAGGGGACCCCAGAAAAAGAGAGACTGCCTCGTCTGTTTGTGCTCTGATTTCCCTTCGTCTGTTTCACCAACTGCCCGGGTGGCACCCCGAGATTCCTGAACCGGGGGTCCGAGTTCCGAAAATTGCTCCTGGTTGTGTTTTGTTTGGGGAGGCCTGATTTAAAAATAAATAAATGTGTGGGGTTTTTAAGAAAAAGAAATAAAAGCTTCCTTTCATCTGGATGGGATTTTAAAAGGGGTTCGCCCCAGGCATCTAAGCTCAGCCCCCCCCCCCCACTGCTTGCACCAGAGTGTCAAGCTCTGCTCCCTGAGGGGGCCAACCCAGCCCACTGTGGGGCCTCTGGAGTTCAGTCAGCGGTGTCCCTCCTGCTCCTCACTGCAATCTGTGGGGGCCCCTAAGGGCATCCCTGCCTCCTTTGCCCACCCAGCCTGCTCCTAAGAGAAGCCCCCAGCAGAGATGCCCAAATATAACACGAGAAAGGGCAACTTGTGGATCTCAAGGTGTTTCTCAACCTCGACCACTTTAAGACTTGTGGACTTCAACTCCCAGAATTCCTTAGCCAGCTATTTTATTTTTCACTTCGCTGAAGTCCGGATATATTACACTGACTGCATTCCCACCATCTATTAAGGAAATTACCCTTTCCAAAAAAAAAAAAAGATGCAATAAAGGTTGTGTAGCCAAATTTGTTCTTGTCCTGTCCCTGCTGAACTCTGGGGGTTGAAGTCCACCAGTCTTAAAATTACATGCCTGGCTGGGGAATTCTGGGGGTTGAAATCCACCCGTCTTATAGTTGCACAGCTGGCTGAGGAATTCTGGGAGTTGAAGTCAATACCTCTTAAAGCTGCTGAGGTTGAGAAACACTGCTCTAGAATGACTGTCTCTGTGGGAGGGAGGGAGGAACGACAGTCGGGATCACTGTTTCAAACGTGTGCCCTACCGAACCAGGCCGGTGCCTTATGGTCTTGACAGTCATCCTCTCCTTCCTCCTCCTCCTCCTCCTTCATCACCACCACCCATCTCTGCATTGCACCCCCAGACAGGATGGCAAGTGGGCCCCAGCTGGGCTGTCTTGTCAAGGACACCCCCATCCTCCTGTCCTCCCCAGAGGGACAAAATACACAGGAGCCCACCACATTATTTTGTGGGTCCTTTTTTTTTTTTTGCTGCTGTGCGAGTCCTGGGGAAGAGAAAGCTGGTGAGTTCCTTCCTCCCATTCTGCCCAGGGGAATCTAAGAGAGAAGCAGAGACAGCTCCAAGCAAGTCCACCCGCCTGAAATTGGCCAAGTTTGCAAACACTGATTAGAACACAATAGAATAGAAAATAGAAAAGAATAGAATAATAAAATACAGAATAGAATAGAATAATGGAATAGAATAATAAAATATAGAATAGAATAGAATAGAATAAGGAATATAGAATAGAATAATAATATAGAATAGAATAGAATAGAATAGGAGCTGGAAGGGACCTTGGAGGTCTTCTAGTCCAGCCCCAGCTCAAGCAGGAGAACCATACCATCTCAGACAAGTGACTGTCCAGTCTTTTCTTAAAAACCTCCAGTGATGGAGCGCCCACGATTTCTGGTGGCAAGCTGTTCCACTGGTTAATTGTCCTCCCTGTCAGGAAGTTTCTCCTTAATTCCAAGTTGCTTCTCTCTTTGGTCAGCTTCCAACCATTATTTCTCGTCCTGCCCTCTGGTGCTTTGGAGAATATAAAATAATATAAAATATAAAATGCAAAATATATAAAATAATATAAAAAAGTCAACTCAGAAGCTTTTTGCAGGAATTAGAAGAGTTCCCTTATCCCCTAGCCAGGGGGCACCCCGGAGCCCTCCGCGCACGCGCGCTCGCCTCCTCGCACCGCTCTGCCACCTCCCCCCCCCCCCGCACACAGAGATAGAGACCAAAGCGCGGAGCGGCTCCTGCTCGCCTCGCTTTAAACCCGGACTTCCGGGTCAGCGGCGCCTGGCCGGCCACGTGCGTTTCTTTCTGCCGGGCTGCAGCGGTCGCGGGAGTCGCAGGTCGGTGGGAACCCCCCCCCCGGCCAATGCAGCCCCTCGGAGACGGGAGGGGGGAGCCGGGAGGGGTGCGGCGGCCCTGCCGGGTAGGACACCGCCGGGGTGGGTAGGGGGCTGCTCCGCCTTTCCTAAGGCTGGCCCCCCATAGCCCATGGATAGGCAACCTTGGCTCTTTTAGGACTGGTGGACTTCAACTCCCAGAATTCCTGAGCCAGCTCTGCTGGCTCAGGAATTCTGGGAGTTGAAGTCCACCAGTCCTAAAAGAACCAAGGTTGCCTACCCCTGGCATAGCCCATCCTCCCCGGCCGGTCTCCCGGGGGTGGCGGGTGGGTGGGAGGGAGTCCTTGCGCGCGCCCTCCCTCCCTCCCTCCCCCCCCCGGCCGGGCCCCTCCCGTGCACGCGCGCCCCCTTCACCGCCGTGTCTCCCCGCAGGGCGCATGGCCGAGCCGAGCGAGCCGGAGCGCGCCCTCCGCCGCCGCCTGCCCCGCCGCCTGCCCCGCCGCCGCGGCGACGTCTACGTGAACATGCGGACCGACTTCAGGGCGCAGCTGGGCCGCTGCCAGAAGCTGCTGGCGCCCGGCGGGGGCTGCGCCGAGCTGTGCATCCACGGGCTGGGCCTGGCCATCCCGCGGGCCATCAACATCGCCCTGCAGCTGGAGGCGGCCGGCGGCGGCGCCCTCCGCCTGGCCGCCAACACCTCCACCGTCCAGCTGGCCGACGGCGCCGAGCCCGAGGGCGACCGCGAGGAGCCGCTGACCCGCGCCCGCCACAACTCCGCCATCCACATCCGCGTCCTGCGCGCCGCCCCGGAGTAGCCGCCGGAGGAAGAGGAGGAGCGCCTGGGGACCCCCCACCCCACCCCGAGCCAGGAGGGTCCCCTTGGAAAAAGACTTGGGGAGGCGGTGCCCTCTTTGTGTCCCCCCACCCTGGAATTAAAACCGGGGTCTGCCAATAAAGGAGAATATTGAAACGCGTGTGAATAGTAGTAGCTGGGCTGCTGCTTTGATCTCCCAGCTTGGCGATGTGGCTGCAAGTGTTTCCTCTCCATTGGGGGCTGGATGTGGGGGGATAGGGGGATACATCTCAGTGCGCTGGGAATGGTGCTCCAGGAGGATATTTATTTATTTATTTTATGAGACTTATATACCGCTTTAAGTGCAAGCACTCTCTAAGCGGTGTACACCAGTAAGCAATGTATGTATATATTTACATTGCCCCCAACAATCTGGGTCCTCATTTTACCTACCCCGGAAGGATGGAAGGCTGAGTCAACCTTGAGCTGGTGAGATTTGAACCGCTGACCTGCTGAACACAGCTAAAGTGGCCTGCAGTACTGCACTCTAACTGCTGTGCCACCTCAGCTCTTTCTTTGTAGCTTGGGGTTGAAAGGAGGGGTCCTCGGGGGCTCTCTGAACTGGGTGGGGGGTTTTTTTGCAGACGTTTCATGACCCAGCTAGGGAACGACATCAGTGCGAGGAGGAGGAGGCAAATGACGACTATGGGGTCCTCGGTGGTTTCTGAGCTGGGTGGTTTTCTTGCAGACGTTTCATGAGCCAGCTAGGCAGCATCATCAGTGCTAGAAGGGAGTCAGTGGGGTTTGCAGTGTGGAGGGAGGAAGATGAGAAGAAGAAGGAACAGGAGGGGGGGTAGGAGGAGGAAGAAAAGAACTGGGCGGGGGTCTTTGGTGGTCTCTGAGCTGGGTGGTTTTCTTGCAGACGTTTCACGACCCAACTAGGGAACGACATCAGTGCTAGATGAAGCCCATCAATGATCATCAGACTGAGGACATCCCCTAGCTGGGTCCTGAAACGTCTTGAAAAAATAGCCAAACTCGGAGAGGATCCAGGACCCCACGATCCTCCTCCTCCCCTCTGCAAACCCCACTTCCTTCTGGCCCTGATGATGTTACCTAGCTGGGTCACGAAACGTCGGCAAGGAAACCCCCAAGCTCAGAGAGCACCAAGGACCCTATAGGTCAGCCCTGGTGTGTTTTAGATGGAGCCCTGCTTCCGGATTCTGTGTGTGGGGTTGAGGCGCCAGGGGATTGGGTTTGGGGCGGGGACACAGGGTTAAGTCTGCGAGGGAGGGCCCCAAAGACACTTCCGGGATGGAAGGGGTGTCTCTGCCCAGCCTCATTCCCTAAGGATTCAAATCCCGGGGTGTGCCTGGGTAAGGGGTCCTTGGCAACTGCCCCTTTCTGCCCCCCAAGTGGTGGGGTACTGCGACTGCTGTGTTCCTCTCAGCCCAGCTAAGGGGTGGCCTCAATCAGCAGCCACTGATTGGGGAGCCCTTGGCAGCCTCGGAGCCCAGCGGGTCTTTGGGGAGCCCCCACCCCTGCCCAACCGGCTTTGCTTCCTCTACCCACCACAGCAGCTGCAAAATTCTGCTTAGAAGGAACGCCTGCTTGGTTTGGGGTCCTGGCAGCCCCCTTCTTGGTCTTTATTGGGGGGTGGCAGTTAATGGGAAAGGAGGGGCTGTGTCCCCTGTACAGAAGCCGGTTCCCCCTTTTCTCAACACGACTTGAAACGGTCACCAGTCTGAGTGAGACTTCTGCATTCTGTGAGTATTTTAAGACGGGTGGCCACTTTAAGACTTGTGGACTTCAACTCCCAGAATTCCTTAGCTAGCAAGGCTTTCCCAGAATTCAGCATGGATAGGATGAGAACATAGGTGGCTGGGCTACTTTATCTCCTTTTTTGATAGAGTAACTTACCTAATAGAACAGTGGTTCTCAACCTTTTTAATGCTGCGACCCCCAACCGGTCGTAAGTTGAGGACTACTCAACTGGTGCAGCACCGTTTGCAGAATGGGACTTTTGGCGGGCTCAGCAGGGCAGAGACAGCCTGGACAATTCCTATTGGCTTTTGAAAGCCAATAGAATTATACTCTATTCAAGAGAGTCTATTCTATTGGCTTTCAAAAGCCAATAGAATAAAAGGGAGGAGCCCAGCTAAGGAAAAGGGGGAAAAAATGGCGGACTGCGTTGTTTGGCGACCCCCGTGAAATGGTCGTTCGACCCCAAATGGGGTCCCGACCCACAGGTGGAGAAACACTGTAATAGAGGGTGGGAATGCGGTAAATATATCTCAGTTTCAGCAAAGAGAAAAAAAAGCTAGCTGGGGAATTCTGGGAGTTGAAGTCCACAAGTCTTAAAAGGTTGGACACATCTGATTTCGGTGAAGTCAAGTGGTCTTTCTCCTCAAACAGCTCAAAAAATATTGCACCGTGGCTGTGCCAAAAAAGCCACGTGCCGCCCATGGCTGGAAGACCTATAAGTTGACCCAACAAATGCTGGGAATTGGAGGGGATTCCCACATGCCTTCCTGGGGTGAGAGCTGGGGCGGGAGGGGTTGACCTCTGCTGTTGTGCAAGAGCGTTGTGTCATCCAGGCTGTGTGTCAGAAGACAGCCTTATCGCAGAGGGCCGGAAATAACTTTTTTTCCACTGCCCGGCTGAGGTGGCACCGCTGATAAGAGACTGGTTGGGGGGCCAGAAGCAGCCCTGACATCTTAACCCCTCCCGGAATTGTGCTGCTGGGGAGTTGAGAAACGGAGGGCTTTCCTTCCTGCAAGGGGGGTACCTCCCCCCCACACACACTCCTGCCCAGGTGAGCATCCAGTGTGGCAAGCCTTGTCTGGAGCATCTACAATGCCTCGGTAAGGCCACACTTGGAATCCTGCATCCAGTTTTGGTCACCACAATGTAAAAAAGATGTTGAGACTCTGGAAGGAGTGCAGAGAAGAGCAACAAAGATGATCGGGCTAAAACATACAAGGAACGGCTGCTGGAATTGGGAATGTCTAGTTTAATGAAGAGAAGGACAAGGGGGGACATGATAGCAGTATTCCAATATCTCAGGGGCTGCCCCAAAGAAGAGGTAGTCAAGCTATCCTCCAAAGCACCTGAAGGCAGGACAAGAAGCAACGGGTGGAAACTAACCAAGGAGAGAAGTAACTTAGAACTAAGGAGAAACTTCCTGACAGAACAATTAACCAGTGGAACTCCTTGCCTCCAGAAGTGGTGAATGCTCCAACACTGGAAGTTTTTAAGAAGAGACTGGACAGCCATTTGCCCGAAATGGTATAGGGTTTCCTGCCTGAGCAGGGGGTTGGACTAGATGACCTCAAGTTCCCTTCCAACTTTATTATTATTATTATTATTATTATTATTATTATTATTATTATTATTATTATTAGCAGCAGCAACAGCAACAGCATCCTTGAGGAAGTCTTTGCAAACAGGGATAGAATCAAGATCACGTGAAGGGATAAAAACAGTTTATAAAGCCTTAATTTGGCCACACTGGAAATCCTGCATCCAGTTTGGGTCACCATGATATAAAAAAGACTTTGAGACCCTGGAAAGAGGGCAGAGAAGAGCAACAAAGAGGATGGGGGTGGGGCTGGAGGCTAAAACATACAAAGAACGGCTGCAGGAATTGGGTACATCCAATTTAATGAAGAGAAAGACCAGAGGTGACAGCGTAGCAATCTTCCAGTATTTGCGGGGCTGCCCCAAAGAAGAGGAGGGGGTCAACTTATTTTCCAAAGCACCTGAAGGCAGGACGAGAAGCGATGGATGGAAACTAAGCAAGGAGAGAAGCAACCGGGAACTAAGGAGAAACTTCCTAACAGTGAGGACATTTAACCAGTGGAACAGCTTGCCACCAGAAGTTATGGGTGCTCCATCACTGGAGGTTTTCAAGAAGAGACGGGGCGGCCGTTTGTCTGAAATGATAGAGGTTATCCTGCCCAAGCAGGGGGTTGGACTAGAAGACCTCCAAGGTCCCTTCCCCCCCCCTTCTAGCACTGATCATGTTCCCTAGTTGGGTCATGAAACGTCTACGAGAAAATAACCAGATTCAGAGAGAATCAAGAACCCCCACACCCCTCTCCTCCTCCAACTCTCCACCAACATTATACTCTTCTAACACTGATGATGTTGCCTAGATGGGTGATGAAATGTCTGCAAGAAAACCACTAATCTCAGAGACCACCAATGACCCCACAGCCCTCCTCCTCCTCCTATAATAATAATAAAGTTGGAAGGTACCTTGGAGGTCATCTAGTCCAACCCCCTGCTCAGGCAGGAAACCCTATCCCGTTTCAGACAAATGGCTGTCCAGTCTCTTCTTAAAAACTTCCAGTGTTGGAGCACCCACCGCTTCTGGAGGCAGGTAGTTCCACTGGTTCATTGTTCTAACTGTCAGGAAGTTTCTCCTTAGTTCTAGGTTGCTTCTCTCCTTGATTAGTTTCCATCCTCCTCTCTGCAAACTCCAATCCCTTCTAGCCCTGATGATGTTTGTCAGTTCGGTACTAAAAACATTTGCAAGAAAACCAGCGCAGAGAGCACCAAGGACCCCCCATTTTGGGGAGGGGGGTACTCGTGTGATTGAGTGAGCAGAAATCGCCAGATGGATCCTCCTGCTTCCTGCCTACTTGGAGGTGGGGGGGGGACTGACATTCTCCATCTTTCACACCCCCGGCCCCCATTTTGGCCTAAAGGTGCCCTTGCTTACAGCAACCCGTCGGGCACCCCATGGGGGGCACCGCTGGTTGAGTCAAATGCTCTTGGTGTCCCCCCCCCCGCTCCCGCCTGGAAGCATGCTGGGGGCCGCTGCGCAGGGTGGAGGGGAGTTCCACGGGCTTCTCTCGACCAAGAGCCCACCTGGCGCACCGCGTGGCGTGGGGATGCGCGGCCGGCGGACGCGGGGGGGGGGTCTTCCCTTCCCGCCCCTGGAGGAGAAGGAGGGGAGGGGGCCGAACTGTCCTGCCTCCCCCCAGGCTGGGCAGCGGGGCTCGCGGGGGGCACCTGCTCGGGGCGCGCAGGCAGCGGAGGACAGGTGGGCGCACCGGGCGCGGCTCCCGGGGGAAGCGCGCGCTCCGTCCAGCCGGGCCCGGGTCAGAGGTCCGCCGGGCCTGGTTGATCTGTCACTCCCGCTGGCGCCAGGCGAGCCGGCCTGTTTGGAGACGC